ATGTGTATAAGAGACAGCACACACACACACACACGCGCGCGCGCGCACACACACACACACACACATACACAGAGAGAGAGAGAGAGAGAGAGAGAGAGGGGGGGGACCAACAAGCAGTGGGTGGAAAGGCCAAACGGATGGGCCTTACTCCATTGGTGAGGCACACAAGTTGCAGTCAGGAGGTCGTGGGTTCGGCTCCCATTGGGCTCCGAACATGCATGGGCATGGTTTGTGTCCTACCGTCTGGAGACAGTTCGCTTGTCCTCCAGGCACATGCATTAGGAGGACCTCAGCCAATTAGGCATGCCCAGCTATCCTGGGATGGTTGCTGGGAAAGGGCAGGCACAGTGACTGACTGTAGTTAGTTCCCGGCAGTGATGTCAGACTGGTTCCATATCAGCGTGATGAGGGGCTGGGACAGCTTCAGCCTTCCACCAAGGCTCTCTGGCACCAGTCTACCCTATCGGTAGGGGAGATGTATGGGTTGGGGACAGGTACGGTTTGGGAATAGGAATGGATTGGTGGGTGTTTCCTGGCAGTGTATTCACCAAAAACATCCGATAAAGCCGGGCTGCTACAGGGGCATCGGAAAAAGATTTCAGACCCAGATGGCCCTATGAATACTCCTTAAGTTTGAAATGGCATTGGAAGGGTACACTGCCAAAATCAGAATTTACGGCGGCGGTTGCAAAGAAAATTATTGCGAACTATAGAGGCAACTTACAGATCTTCCCGTTAGGAGGAGGAAGGAGCTGGGAAAGAAATGTTGGATGAGACGATTGAACATGGGAACTACAGCATGGAGTGTGTGCCTCTATGTGACCACGTTTGACTTGGTGAAACCATTGTCCGCCGTTACCTGCAAGTAGCTGCTGCTGCGCAGATCTCTTTTTGAGGCTTGTAATACGCACCACCTAAATGACCTGCCTTTTTTTTTGTTTTTTTGGCGTGTACAAAATGTCGAACTTGCTGTTTTCACTATCTTCTTCAACCCGTATGCCTCTCGCTGGTCTGCAGGGCTTCTGTTTCCCAGGGCTTCACCACAGTATGCAGAAGTTCACACAGAAGCTGGCAAGGTGCATCCGCTACAAGTAACGGATGTGTTTTGCCACCGTCTGTGTGGAGATGCACTCACTATTTTGCTCATTGCGCGAGTAGTGTGGCGAGGCCTTGAAACTTGCAATTCTCTTGCTCAACTTGTTGTGCTCACTCACTATCTTCTTGAAACCATCTGTGCAGGGAAACATGGTCTAAGTGCCCTATAATTGATTCTAGGGTTTGTCCTCCAGTTAGTTTCCAGAAGCTTCCAGGCTTGCTGGGACTAGGCACAACTGGATCAATTTAGGGAACACCTGCAAGATCGAAGAAAAATAATGGCTTAAGCCAGTTCTCCTTGTGGTGTTCCATATTGTTTGTGCCAAGGAAAGGAGGAGAACATAGACTTTGTATTGACTACCAATCACATTCCAGAATGCAGAACCTTTCCCTCAGACAATCTACTGGGCATATTGCAGGGATACAAAAACTTTCTGCATATTAATCTTACGTCAGGCTGTCATCAGACCGAAGTAACCCCAGAAGATCAACATCAGGTGGCATTCCGTGCATTTTATGGGCAGTGTGAGTTCATGGTTAAGCCCTTTGGACTAAGGAATGCTCCTGCAACCTTCCGATGATCTGTAAACGACCTCTTCTGTGAATGGTTGTCTCTCTGTAGGTGCCACTCCGAAGTGAAGGTAATGAGAGAGCCACAAAGGACGGACAAGGAGCGATTCCACAGGTTGAGGTGTTGAGGTATGTGGCATCCCTTCCTATAATTCAAGATTCATTATTCATTAAGAGTATAGAATCAATGATATCAATATATTTTAAAATTTAATATATTATATAATAGTTTAATTGTATAATTGTAATGATAGTCATACTTTGAGTTTGAAGGACCTCTCAGGTGCAGCTGATGCAGGTAGGCCCTACCTATCTCTGCCTGCATTGTCTTACGGACCTGCGTTATACATCGACCTGGCTATTACATGGCTATTGTCAATTTCTGTGGCAATTGGAAGGTGTTGGACAACAGCATCATGGTCCATGCCATGATTGATGTCGGCGATCTCCTTCTCAATGGCGATGTCTTCTTGCCTCAGCAAACCCTCGACACATACTCTTTTACATCGGGGATCAGTGTTGCACACGCCGACCGTCGGCGACCCTTGACTGGTCGGCTGGTCGGCACCTACCGGTCGGGGGTCGTCGGC